AGAACACCTGATGCCAAAAAATTAAATTATCCCCAGGACAATGAATCTCTTATGAGTGTATACAGTATCTTTCCCATTCCCTTTCCTTTCGTTTTTTCTCCCCCACTCCCTATTCACACGCTGTGCTTTCCCAACACCCAGCTACTGCCATGCGTAACCACCCACCCCCCACCGCTTTACTTCACTCCCGTCCCCTTTGTCGCCGTGATCTTCAAATGTCAACCGCCTCGCCATTTACCCGTGAAACCCGAGGCCACGAAAGACGCGTCCTCCTGCTTTCCCATCTGAATGCAAATTCTGTTTTGATCCGTCTGGAGCAGTTCAAAACAATCCTCTCCCCCTCTCGCCCTCCCCCTCCCGCAGCTCCCACTACCCCCGGAGGCGAGGCGACCCTGCAGAACCGCTTCATAAATCCGGTGATACATTCTGGCCTTGTCACTCGGCGGCCGTGACTCGCGCTTTCTTTTCGGGCTCCTTGGCGCCCGACCACCCCGGCCATGGCGGCCTCCTCCAAGCAGCATCGCCATCGCTATTCTTTATCGGGCGCGTCCCTCCGCCGGCCGCCCGCGCTGCGAGAACCAGCCTTGTAGGCACCGCAGCCTCGGATCGCCGTCTTTACCTGATGGAGTGCCCCGTGACCTTTGGCAGGGAATCTCGACAAGAAAGTCACCTGGCGCATAAGCTGTCATCAGGGCGCGCTGAACACATGAGTACACATTCATTCATATACATTTATTCATCCAGCTATCCAACCCCCCAAGGATGCAAGCACACCTACCCACACGCACAGACACACGGACCGAGACGCCTGAATTCGAAGGGCGTGTACCTGCACCTCTGCCCATCTTTCCCAGCTTTTCCGAATGCCCAGGGAACGACTGCAGCGCAGCCTGGAGGACAGCCGGCCAGAGGAGGCCCCACTCGTCCCGGCACCTGAGAGTCGGCCGTCCTCCGTCCCTTTCTACTTTTCCCGTCGGTGCCCATCGCCCCATGACCATTTTCGCGTCTACGCTTGTCTAGCGAAGGCGAACATCGATCCCTTTTTAACAACCCACGCCGCGCACTCGATCGCCCACCTGTTGGCAGCTTTCACTCAAAATCGATGTTTCTTCTGTATTCCTCGGGATTCAGGAAACAGATATTATTTTCTATTGAAGGATCCAGCGGTCTACTCATCTGCATACAGTGACGGATTTAGCAATTCCATCACAACATATAATGTGGAGTTACACAACACATTCTAATTTTCTCTTATTGTCAGTAAGCTTAAGAACTCAGAACGAACACGAATATTTCGGTGGCATGTCCAGCCTCCCCCGTGATCGGCCCAGAGGTGCCCCGCAAGGCCCCTCGCAGCTTCCGTCCTGTCCCTCTGCCCGCCGCCCACAGCCCCTGGCCGCCCCGAGAGCGGCCTGCCACTAATGGGAGCCAGATCAATCTCCTGCCACAGCCGCGCCACGAGCCGCTTGTTCGCCGGCCAATTCCGTCCCGCATTTCCCGGTTTCAGTTCATTAGAAACATCAATACTGGATCACATCACTCGCAAGATATGTAAAAAGCGTCACAATGGCGAGGCGAGGCAGGGCCGCCGTCGCCATGGCAATGCTGGCGGTGGCGGGGCGGTCCAGGTGGCATCCTACCTGAGCGCTCCCTCACGCGCACCCCTGCCTCTGCCCTCCGCCCGTGTATGGCACCCTGCCGCCTGCCATCCGCCCTGACACTGCCCACGATATTGGCCATATCCTGTGGCTTGTCTGCCGCCGCGGAGGATCGTTCCCGCCACGGCCGCCGGCGGGGCGAGCAGCGAACAATCGCGACGACGCGTGCATGAACCTGACGACGCAGGCTGTCTGATCAGCCCCTTGCAGCGACGTCGCCCTCGGCAATGCATCGCGCGACTTGGGAGCGTGAGGCTTTAACTCCTCCCTGTGACGGCCAGGGCCGCGGCGCGGACTTAAAGATCAACATCGGGGGAGCGCCGCCATGAGCGAGGGAGCGAAGTACCGGCGGCGCTGGCGATGCCTCAGCGGGAGCCTTCCTCGCGCGGGGACGCTTCACACACTACTGCCGGGCCCCGAGCACCGCCTGCCCGCCCCAGCCGAGCCACGCGGCACCGCCACCTCCCCTGTCAATGCCACCTTCTTCCCCAGGTGCACTTCGTCACCGCCGCCCGTGCCCAGGGGAAGCAACTTCGACAACAGTCCCAGTCATGTGCGGAGCTGGGGGTGGGGGGAAGGCCGATGTAGGGAGGGAGGGGGAAGGACTGGGCAATTAGGTGCGTTAGGTGGGGTACGGTGGGCAGGGGAGATGTGGGCTGGGGAGGAGAAGGAGAAGAAAGTGAGGGAGGAGAGGGGGTATTGGGATAGCAAAGAATAAGTGGTTGAGTGGGAGAAGAGGGGAAGAGATGGGATGTGGTAAGTGGGTGCCTAGGTGAGGATTCAGGTGGGTAGAATAGGGAAGGGAAGGAGAGAAGGGAGGGGGAGGGAGGGAGGGGAGCGGAGGGAATGGAATGGTAGGGGAGGGGAAAGGAGAGAAGGAGGGGAGGGTTGGGATGGAAGGGGTAAGCGGCTGATGCAGGTGTTGGGGAAGGAAGACTTGCTGTGGAATCCGGCGCAGCGAAAGGATGACGACGTAGGCGTGTACGAACCACGCCGAGAAATGTCGCTGCGGAATCGCGAGTCATACCGGGCACGGGAATGCACAAACCGCAGTTTAAAGGCAACGCAATCCATTGGCTAAGACGCCCTCCGGGAAGGGCAGACAATAGAGCAGTCGAAAGCCGACTCAAGCCGGGGACACGGATCCATTCTCGCGCACAGGCCGGGGCCGCGAACACTGCACCGTGACAGCCGCAGGAAAGGCGCGGGCGAGGATGAGCAACTCCACCGAGACGCGCCTCATCCATCTTCATCAAATCGTTCTAATGAAATCTCGGTGTCACAGCCTCCTCGAAATCACACGCCATCCCGCAAAACGTCTCTCGCTCACCGAGCCAGTCACTGATTCACGCTTCTCAAGGAGGAGAGCGAGGGCTCGCGGCTGAATTTATCACAAGCTAGGAAGTGTTTATGTCAGAGAAGCGTTCCCTTAAGACGGGGAGGAGAGAGGAGAGAGGAGAGGAGAAGGGATGGAAGAGAGGAGGGAGGATATCAAAAAAAAGAGATGGAGAAAAGAAGGTGACAGGAAGGGGCGGGGGAGCGGGAGACGAATGGCGAGAGGGGGGGAGGGGAGGGAGACGCGTACGGGTGGGGCACTGATAAGGACTGGAGAAAAGAGAGCGGTATATTAAGATTAAGGATGTGAAAATAATGATGAAGATAATGGTGGTGGTGGTAGAGATGATCACGATGGTGATGATGCTAGCGGTGATGATGGTTATGGTGGTGATGATGACGGTTGTGGTAGTAGTGGTGATGACTGATGGTGGTGGTGATGATTGATGGTGGTGATCATGATGACAATGGTGATGATGACAATTATGATTAATTATTAATTAATTAATGATGATGATGGCGGTGATGATGGAAGCCGACCGACAAAAACGCGTGGCAGCCTTTGATGCAAAAAGCGCCAATCCGAGACCGACTCCGGAAGGAGCTGCTCCTCTGACCCCCGGCGACAGGTGGCGCATCGCTTACCACGGCGTCATGAGGGGAATCATGGCCTCGGCGCATGCGCAGCCATAACAGTGCATGATAAATGAGTCCAAATGACAGCTCGTTTTGATCGATTTATCTACGCTGCAAAAGTTATTTACCCAATAAAATGTTTATGTTTATCTGGCGTCGCGTAAATCCTCTCTGGATAAAGCAAAACGCACACGCCGCGGAGTGCAGCGTCTGTCCCTTCCCGCATGTCACTGTGACTCGCTGGCAGGACTAGTCAAGTACATACACACTGGGTATGGCGCCCTTTACAGTTTCTCTCTAAGCTGATGTCATTTCGCAGATAACTTTGGGGATATATTTTGTAACCAATATAAGAATTATTTCGTCCAAGATAAATACAGGCTTCGTACCGCAGATTATGTGACGACATGAGTCTCTGCATTAGCTGGGTCTTCGGCTATATTTAGCATATTGTCTTTACAAGCCTTTATCATCCCATAAGTAATTTATCAAATTTAATTCTAAAATAATGCATTAAGCTTTGACTTTAAGACAACTTCATCTCGTTTAACCTCCGTATCACATTTTCTTTCCTCCACTGATCTGCCTCGATGAAGTGGGAGGCACGAAGGTAGGCGACGCGCAACCCACACGACTTGCAGATTGCAAGAGGAGGGCACTGTCGAGGACGCCAGAGCAAGAGGCACCGTCCACAATCGGTGCATAAAGGCGTCCTGAAAACGTGCACTCCCTGCAATTGCTGGACTTAATAACCCAGTGAGTTCGCTAATTCGGGGCGGGATGCTCTCAACTTATGGCTTCATAGAGGAAAGGCTGCATGAATCATGCGTATTTATAAACACACAACCTAAATCGACACCCTCTCTGACAGGGAAGAAGCAGAGCTAAGGAGGACTTTCCCCACCCACCCCACCCCCCGTGCCATTCCTTCCGCCCTCGATCCCTGAACTCGCCCCGAATTAAAATTTCCCGTTCCCTTTCCCTGATCACATGTATCCACCATTCACTTCCTCCTTTTCTGTTCTCTTTCTTCACCTTTCTCTTGACGTTTATCCATTCGTCCCCTTCCACTCCCACTCCCACCCCTGCGTCCCCCCACCAGTGCGCCGCGCGCAACAGGCGTCCCTTCAGGTCATTTCACGGCGCTGCCATCAAGGGCTCCTTCAGGTATCACAGACGGACTCTGTCCCAGCTCTCCCTCCCTTCGCGTCCACAACAGACGATTCTCCTGCTCGTGATTCACTTCGCTTTCCCTGAGTAAACAGCGGCACAAACGGCCATCTATGGCCGCGCCCCTTGAGACTGCGCGAGGCCCACACAGGGTACACGCAGGCGGCGAAGAAGCAGACGCCACAGGGGAAGGAAACTTACCGTGAATTAGTGGCGGCGGTTCCTGCCGCCGAACTCGCCGAGGGCGACGACTTGGGGCGCCCCGCTTCCGGCTTCTCTACCTGCAACTTTCCAGGCAGCGGCTTCGAAGGCTTGGCCTTCTCCGCCTGTTTCTTCCTTATAAATGCAGTGTCTGCGGGTTTGGTTGACTGGCCTTTGGCGGCTTTGGTGCCATTGACGTTCGAGGACTTGGCTTTGGTTGTATCGGCGTTGGCTTTGGCTTGGTTGGCTTTGGTTGACTGGGCTTTGGCGGTGTCGGGCTTGGAGTTGTCAGGGCGCGAGAAGGCCTGCTTGACGCGCCGTGAAACAGATACAGTGCGGCCGATGGCCCCCATGACGCTCTGGCGCACGTCCTCGGTGCTGCTCCACGCCCGCAGCCCGCCCACGAGCCTGGAAACGCGCCCACTGCCGCCCCCGCCCCTTCCGGTCACGTTGTCGCTCTCAGTGTGACCGTTGGCACTCTCCTCCAGGAGCTCCTTCTTCTGCCGCACCTGCATGGCTAGGTTCTTCCTGTCCTTAACCACTTTGTTGACAGCAGGAGCGGGCGTGCGGGCGCTGCTGCCATGGTTCGTCAGGGATGTTCGCAGGGCAGATTTCCGCAGACCGAGGCTGCTCTCGGCGACGAAGGTGCAGCTGCGCCGCATGAAGCTGTAGGGCGAGGGCGTGGTGGGTGCGGGCGTAGCAGTCCCCAGCGGCCGCCGCAGGGTAACGCCGTCGCTGGCGCCGCCGCCCGCGAGGCTGTCCTTGCCTTTCTTCATGACGTCGGCAAGGAGCACAGGACTAGATTGCACTATATCATAGCTTGCTTTGTTCACTAAATCCTATAACAATAGCACCAGAAAACTAACAGGGCTTCCTGTGACAGTTTCCGGCGATGGCTTCCGCCATACCAAAGGCACCGTTTCAATTTTGTGTTCGACACTTCATTTTCCTATTCATTGCAATGCTTTTCGTATTCTCTTATCAATGGGTTTCATAATACACGCACGAAGACACTGCAGCACACAAAACACACTCAAACACACAGAACACAGACGACATATGGTACATCACCCGCTATCCTGGCGCTGTACACCACTGGAGTAATCGCTGTCACATTTTCCTCACGTTTCAAAGCCAACACCATTATCTTTACACATCCGTTTTCTTGGCTTTGTGTGTTTGGTTGCCATGAAGAGAAAACACACCGGACAAGCGGTTGTGACTGGCGCTGCGAGCCGCTATTGCTCACAACTCGAAGGGCAGCTCACGCCGCCCTCGCCACGGTTGCGTCATGGAGCTCAAGTGAACAATACCACTCAGGTAAAAAGTGGCATGCGTCGGGCATCTGGGTAAGGTGAGCTGGGCGGCGGCGCGCACAACACGCGACCGAAACGTCACGATCACAAGGGCCTCACAACTGCGAGACGGCGGTCGGATGGGGCTCCGCACCACACCGCGAACGCCGCCACATCACACTCCTACAGTCCTGCCTCCTACCGCGGGAGGCGAGGCCAGGCAACTTGCACTCTCGGTGGGACAATGCACACACACCGCGGGTCCTTCACCCCGTGCCCCGTGGCCGTTGCGACCGGCCAGCACGCCCAGCGCCTTCGCCAGCACCTACCCGCGGCACCGCTGGCGGGGCGCCTCCATACCGCGTAAACAACCCGCAAAACACGAACGGCAAGTTGTTAAAATGGCGCTGTTGTGAGATCCTGCGGGTGACGTCATCCCTCGGCGGACTCTCAAGTTACCGTGGTTCACCACCACCAGATGGCGGGAGGATCGCCCCGGGCCGCCGCTACGCCTCACTCTCCCACTACATTCACTCTGCCACCGTCACTTCCTCCAGCCTAAGACAAACGCACACAGCTTCCTATCAAGAATTCCTCCCATCATACCGCCCACAGCGCCCCTCGATGGCTCGGGATGCCCCGAGAGGAGGGACGGCGAGCAGCGGCGGCAGCACCGCAGAGGCAGCGGAGTGCTGCAAGGCCAGGCGAGGACTCCCGCCATGTTGGTTCTGTTTCTCAAGCCATTTACCACCACGTTCGCTCGGGCTGCGACTCGCAGAGAGCGCGACGCCCGGGCGGGATGTGGCATGCACTGCCTTGGGCATCCTCTGCACAGCCCGCAGCACGCCCCGCAGCCTGGAATCTGGCGGCAAGATGCGCATCAACGGCGGCAGGGGAGTGGCGGCGGCGGGGAAACAGCTTTCCCATTGTGTGGAACAGTTCCACCCATCGCCAGGTGACGTCCCCCCCCCTCCCTCGCCCCTGCATGGATGACCTTTCGGCCACCCAGCCCCTCCTTCCTAAGCTCTGCCAGGCCCCGGAGGACAGGAGCTTACCTTCCAGGTTTCCCTCATTCCTTCCCCATGACAAGTTCCTGCGCGGCGACGCCCAACGAGCGTTGCGTCACGCGTCCCCCAAGAACACCCGCCAAGGATCCCTCGCCACAAGGAGCCCGGCCGCGCAACATTTTACTTCATTCATTCCTCTTTTTTCCCAGCGCCTTAATTTGGCTCTAAGGGTCTCTAACAACTGGCCTCGCTCGGACCGCCGCTCGCATCCGACGGCATCCTCCCTCCAGGGACATGACGGCCCACAGGCCACCACGACAGTGCCCACTCCTTCCCCGCTGTCACCCTGAGAGCAGCCTTCCCGCCACCCACGGCTCGCCCCGCCAACCGAGAAACCAAGGTGAAGCTGCAGATGACGAGCTGCCTTTATGCGTGTGACCTTAGACTCGAGCAGATTTATTTGTTTAAAGCATTAAACATCAAACATGTATGCGTCTCCACGGATCACGAAGGGCTCGCTGCAGGACCCGCACGCGAGACTGCCGGAGGACCCAGCCAGCGTTGCTCCGATCGGGGCCGACCCGGGGGAGGGAGGGGATCAGGTGCATGGCTGGAACGGCGGCCGTGAGGGCGGCGAGGAGGGAACCGAACGCCCGCAACGCCAGAGGAATGTCAAGCGGAGCAGCGGCCGCCAGCCATGAACTCCACTGTACGGGCGTGACATGAGAATCTTGCCCTCATGGCAGGGGAGATGCAGTGCCTTAGGGGTGGGGGGGTTGGACGGCCAAAGAGTCCAAGACACAAATTAAACAATACGCTGAAATGAGGGGTAATGAGGCGGAGGGGGGGGGGCAATTTCCTTTGAACGCCGCGCCTCTATGAGTCATCCATGCTTTGGGCTTCTTGCGCCAACCGCCGTAACCCTTTTCCTCATCCTGTCCCCGCCGCTGCCTATCCTCTTCTCTCTCCCTTCTCCCTGTCTCACACTCCCTCACTCACTCACTCACTCACTCACTCACACTCACTCTCACTCTCTCTCTCTCTCTCTCTCTCTCTCTCTCTCTCTCTCTCTCTCTCTCTCTCTCTCTCTCTCTCTCTCTCTCTCTCTCTCTCTCTCTCTCTCTCTCTTCTCTCTCCTTCTCTTCCTTCCTTCTCTTCCTCTCTTCTCTCTCTCTCTCTCTCTCTCTCTGCTCTCTCTCTCTCTCTCTCTCTCTCTCTCTCTCTCTCTCTCTCTCTCTCTTTTTCTTCTTCT